TGAAAAGCAATAAAGGGAACCAGCTAAACCCAAACTAACTATTTGATAATTTGCCGTAAATTATCCGTTGTTTATCCGTGAAAAGAATAATCTTGCCGTGGAAGTCAAAATCTACGGTCTATTTTTTCGCGGAAGCCCAACATTTACACGAACATGAAAATATTGTCGGTTAACCGTCAAAGCGAAACCGAAATCGAACGTTCGGTCGAACACAACAATGGCACGCTTTCATCCAAATTGGCAGTCCTGATCAGCGACGCAAAAGTTATCTTTCTCTCTCTCGCATGGCGTCACATGGCGAAGAATTAACCGTTGTCTCTTCTCCAAGCGCATATGTATGTACATATATTTGTAAACGTACAGTTATGTCGTCGACTCCGACGTCTAATGTTTGCGTTCTTTAAGCACTTGCTGACTCCCTCCTGGTTAGGTTTGTCTATGAGAGACGCAAACATTTCCCCTCTCTCTCGCGCATGGCGTCACATGGCGTAGAACTAAACGCAGTCTCTTCTGCAAGCGTAAAAGTAAGACGCCTTTTAGACACGTCAAGTCTTGCTTTCAAGTCTGCTCGGTTCGTTGGAGAAGGAGGTGTGAAGAGAGGGGAGGTGAGAGGAGAGAGTAAAAGGGGTCTAAAAGCATGTAAACGTTTACCGCAATCATAATATGAACCGTTATGTGTTCGAATCGGTCATCTGCAAATTCTCCGCTTAGGCATGTCTATCAACGACTCAAAAATTTAGTTCCGTGCATGATGTCGCATGGCTAGGAATTAAATGTTGGCTGTTCTGCAAACTCGTAGCGCAAATTTATTTTAAAATTGATCGGCCTCGCAGTGTGTACTGTCGATTTGTGGACTCGAAATTTTCAAGCTTTAAGTTGTTACAAAGTGTTTATTTGCTAAAATGAGTTCACGTCGTCGCGGAAAACCGAGTCTCGCTGACTCAGGTGCAGTTATTAAAGAAATAGTTTCTCATAAAGAAAAATTGGTTCAAAATGGACATATTTTAAGTGCTTCAAATGAAATATGGACGCGGCTTGCCACTGACTTGAAATTAGCCCCGTCAACTCTGTACTCATATGTGGTTAATAATAGATACAATTTAAAAGAAATACTTATAAAAAAAGGTGCCAATGAAAGTATGTACAGTGAAGTGAGTGCAAGGGACAAGAGTGTAAATTCGTCTGTAGCTTCCGTAGACGAAACTCAGAAATTTTCCTTTACAATAAATAGAGGAAATTTTGAAAAAATGATAACAGAGTTATCATACTATACATTAAATAATGGCACAAAAAGGCGGAGGACGAAGACGATTTTGAAACCTAACCTTTGGAGTGATCAGATCTCGCACGACATTAGGGATCATTTGAAACTAAACATGGCGCACCATTTAGGAAGTTAGCAGGGCACGCGATATTTTTTAAAATGTGTCAGCCGCAAGATAATTCTTTTCACGGATAAACAACGGATAATTTACGGCAAATTATCAGATAGTTAGTTTGGGTTTAGCTGGTTTCCTTTATTGGTTTTCAGATATTTTTTAAAATGTTTCCGCGGCAAGATAATTCTTTTCACGGATAATTTACGGCAAATTATCAAATCGTTAGTTTGGGTTTAGCTGGTTTCCTTAATTGGTTTTCAGATATTTTTTAAAATGTTTCCGCGGCAAGATAATTCTTTTCACGGATAAACAACGGATAATTTACGGCAAATTATCAGATAGTTAGTTTGGGTTTAGTTGGTTTCCTTTATTGGTTTTCAGAAGGTGCCCTGCTAACTTCCACGGAAGTTAGCAGGGCATTCGATATTTTTTAAAATATGTCCGCGGCAAAATTATTCTTTTCACGGATAATTAACGGCAAATTATGCGATAGGAATTTTTGCTTTGAGAAAAAGTTGTCCTGCCAAGTTCAGAGAGGTCGGATCTTCCGAATGCCGCGGCTGTACTTTGCTAACTCGGTCATTGCGATGGTTGGAGCGAGGTGAGCTAAATGATATACAAGTGCTTTCCCTCAAAATAGCTTTCCACCAGAAGTGATGAATGTGAGAGCTTTTTTCTAAGACTTTTGCGCTAGAATAACAAACGCCTTTCGAACTACTTTCTTGTCATCTGTCTTTCATCTGTCTTAGAAAGACCTTTTACCATATTAGCCAGAATGGCCCTGTTATAGTTTTATCTAAATTGTTCCTTTTTAATTTAAAATTTAAAATTTTATGCATCGATGTCAATTTAAAAACTATAAATATATCTATAACTCGAATTATATCTATAACAAATCTGTAACCATATCGATTCCGACAGCGATTAATATATCGAATAACTTGGACTATATCGATAACATTTTCCATAACTACTCGATTATGGTGTCGATAACATTTACCATAATTACATCGATTATAATATCGATAATATTTTCCAATATTACATACATATGTATATCGATTATGATGTACATAACTTTTTCTTGATATCATCGATTATAATATCGATTTCACCTCATGATCCCAACAAAGCCTTGTAAATGCTAAATTTATTCACATTATACATTCAATTTTCATTTCCAAATATAATTAACTTTTATTTTTTACGACCTCTAAATTACTTAAAGTCCACATCGAATCGCTGCATCGTAAATATGTATGTATTTTTCAATTTGCTTCCGCACTAAAAATTATTTATGACTTTTTGTCAACAAATTCTCGCGTTGCAATGTTTTTTTCCTTTAAGTGTTTGTGTCAGCTCCACGTCACTTGGCAACCGCTTTGTACTTGTTCGCGACTCAATGCATTTGGGTCAGCGCAGCTGCCGGTGACGGATATTCTACATTTCGACAAATAATAGGGGTATTCTCCAAATCTTGCAAAGCCATTGCACGTAGCACGGATTGCATGGATTGCATAACTTGCAAACACACAACAACAAAATACATGGGAAACGACATTTCCTATCGCTGCAAAATATGCAACGTCGAAACCCATGTATATATTTTGCAAAATAGCATAGCAAGATATATGCGACCCTGTGCTAGTTGTTTTGTTGTTGGAATTGCTACATATTTCTCTCATTCCTCTCATCTCGCTCACTTCATTTTTTTCTGCTGTCTCTTGTTATTGTATTTGATACATAACTTCGCTGCTTGCTACCCATGCATTCTACCACTTTGCAATGGGGTGCTCTCGTACTCTTCGAAATTTGGGATAGTATTTTTGCATTTCGTGCAATACGTGCATCGTGCAATACTTCGAGAATACCCCTAATGTCTATTCTCATAGCAAATGCTTATGTTGGTATGTATGTATGTATGTTGCATTTTAATCATTTTTTGACAATACTCTTACATTAAGTGCCACTTTTTTGTCAAATCTGTAGCATCGTCATAGAAAAAGGCTCATTCCAATTAAAATTTTCTAAAGTATACTAATGCATATGCATGAGCCGAACTCATTAATAAAATTAGCGCATTTGTAACAAAATAGAGAATATCATGAAAAAGCCTATTTCGAATGCTGCAAATCGAAAAAAACCAAGCGTTTATTATGCAAATCATTTTACAAACCTGCATAATGTTCTATCATTAAATATAAAGTTTTTAAGCAAGTCAAGAATTGAACTTCGTTCTAATCGGCATTGTGTCACAAATGAGCTTACATCGCTGTGCTACATACTATGTAAATGTTTTTAGCCTCGAAAACACCAAAGGGGAATTTTTACCAGAATAAGCTCGGGCAAAATCATTTTATTGAGGTGTCGAAATTACTATGAAATATAATCGATCCCTAAGTTTTTTAGTTTCTATTTGTAAACCCTATTTTATAACACAGTTGAGAACTGCAAATTGAATTTGTTCTCTTTTGAGTTATTGCTAAGCCAATTTAGTCCTGAGTTCAGACAAATTTTTCTAATGCCACTGAAAAGTGCAGAATAGTGAATTTCCCTTCACGTGGCTCAACATCATAACTCATGAACAAATATTCAAATACATAATAGCTTCGGGGGGTTTCTAAAAATATACTAACTGGCGTAAAGCGTTTCACGAATCTTCCTCTGTTGGCAGAATAGTCAATTTCCCTTCATGTGACTTAAGATCATACTTTATGAATTCGTATTTATGACCCAATTTAGCTGAGTGTTAAATAATACGTTGGCTAAGAATAAATATTGGACTAACAGCTGCGGAGAGTCTCTGGAGGATCGTGTCAGCACATGTTTTTTTGGTATGTAAAGACATTATACATAAATCTTGACATCAAAATAGAGTGCGAACTTTATTGCGGAAAGAATAATTACGACTAATAAAGCCATTTTAATAAATGGCTTTATCAAAATACTAATTACATGGTTATACCAACGCTGGAAGCAACGAAAATGTCCAAAAACCATAATTGCTTTGTATGGCATTTTTTATTTTGCTCCATACTACCCACCCTGTTTGTTATCTTTGCTTACACAATGCAGCTTTTAAAATATGGCTCCATTATATTTTGAAAATGAACAACCAATCCCAAAGCGGCTGCGTTTCAGAAGTCGGGGTTTCAATTTTTACCGTTTTTGAGCTACATATCCTCTAAATCTGAACGATATGTCTAAATTGTGTATGTAACGTAAAGATTATCATTATTTAAGTAAGTTATCATTAAAAAAGTTCGTCAACATTTGGCTTTATTTGAAATATTTGAGATATCTGAATGTGAAAAATTGTCTCGAATGCCTTTCATATAAATCCTTACAGAACATAACAAAACGTCTTTCAAATGGATCTGGCTTTGAATATGTTAGACAATTAAAAAAAAAAAAACCAAAAAAATACATATTGCTAACTTTAACATTTTTAAATTATTTTGCATATTTGTATGTAAATTTTCGGGTATTAGCTGATTCTAAATACAAGTTAATGAAATCTTTTCTTTAAAAATATTTTGTTTTTAATCTCTTACCTTTTTTCGAATTTGGTATCCCCAAATAATTTTTTATTTATTAAACCCTCTCATTGTTTATTTACAGATTTTAAACATGGAAGACGATTCAAATTGGTATCGTGCCGAATTAGACAGTAAAGAGGGTCTCATACCCAGTAACTATATAGAAATGAAAAATCATGAGTGAGTATGAAAACGCTTTGAGCCGAAAAAAAGCATTCCCTTAAGACGTTTGAAGCTTTAAAACTCAAAAACACTCCAAATCTTTGCTGAACTCTCAGAGGTTGTATGAAAAGTGTTTACGAGTTTCGGGTTTTGCAACTTTAGGCGCTTAACCGAATCCCCTAGTGTTTTTTTTTTTAATTATTTTTCTCAAATTAATTACTAAATTCCCTCCTTGTTTTACTTACAGCTGGTACTATGGTCGCATCACACGCGCCGATGCTGAAAAATTGCTCTCAAATAAACACGAAGGCGCATTTTTAATTCGCATCAGTGAGTCCAGCCCTGGCGATTTCTCCCTATCAGTCAAGTAAGTGAGGCATAAAATTTTGAAAATACTTACATAAGCAATTTCATCATTACTACGCCCATTTTTTTCACACAGATGTCCCGATGGTGTGCAGCATTTTAAAGTCTTACGCGATGCACAGGGTAAATTCTTCCTTTGGGTGGTTAAATTCAATTCACTCAACGAGCTAGTGGAATATCATCGAACCGCAAGCGTGTCAAGATCACAAGATGTTAAATTAAGAGATATGATACATGAAGAGGTGAGGCGTTTAATTGATGCTTAAAGCTTAAACAGGCGGCAGCGTTGATCCCGATTAACTCGGTCTTAATCCGGATCAACTGCAGTTTATTCCCGAGTCGATCCGGATCAACGCTGCCGTCTGTTTATGCTTTTAGATATAGTACTTTAAGCTACTTAATAATATTTCTCTTTCCCCTATAGATGCTCGTTCAAGCATTATACGATTTTGTGCCACAAGAATCTGGTGAATTGGACTTTAGACGCGGCGATGTTATCACCGTCACAGATCGATCTGATGAGAATTGGTGGAATGGTGAGATTGGCAATCGGAAAGGTATCTTCCCAGCAACCTATGTAACGCCATACCACTCATAATAGAATAGAAAGTCGTAAAATAAAATATAAAAAAAACAATATAAAAAATAACAATAAAAACACTGCACACAAATACAAAAACAACAAACAAACGAACACACAAAACAATACTGGTATCTAAATTAAAATTAAAAAAAAACGAACCACCAACAGTAACAAATATTTGCCACCATTATTTTTCACACATTTTATAAAAACGCCAAACACTGCTACAACAACAATCAGAACTATTATCAGAAAAGTAGGAGTAACAACGGCAGGAAGAGACACTGCAATAACACTCGAAATTAAGATTAGCAATGGTAATAGGGATACAAATGTTGTGTCAACATTTAAAACTACAACCATCAATAGTTGTGAGCTGTCTCATCAGCCAAGAAATTTATTATCCTTGAGACTATTGCATGCGAAACATCACAGCCACATTTTATTGTTTTTTTTTTTTAAGGAGCGCTTTGTTGCAGACAACCTTTTAGCATGAGTAGTATGGTAGTGTGCAAACGCTGAACGCAATTTTTATTTGAGGTTAGAGATACATATATATATATTTAAACGGTAAATTACTGTAAAGAGTGTAAAATCAACTTAGCGAAACTCTAAAATCAACTTAGCGAAACTCTAAACTTAGCTGCCTTATCATGTATCTAAAAGTCATAATCCAATTAATTGTCGCGTACTTTAGGCACTGAAATTTATTGCATGCCAATTTGAAAGTTTAGTTTTAAGAAGATTTTAAGTCTATCCCAGGCATATTGAACATATTTATTATATTTTGCATTTGGTCTTTAATTTCCATTTTTGCTAACATTTTACACTAAACTTTTACCAATTTTACCTATCTATATCGGCTTTTTATAATTGAAATTTGTCACATTTTTTTGTCAAATTCATACATTTTTTATGAAATTTGCGACGGCTGGCAATGGCAAACCTCCCGAGTGTATTTCAGCCTTAGTAAAATTTCTCATAAAATCCATTTGCCATTCGAAGAAAGTTATTGACCAAAGCGTCGACAATTTTTTGGTCGAAGCCGAACTAAAGTCTAACAAAATTTTTTTGTCCGAACATAATGAAAGCCGAGTTGAAAAGTGGGTACTTCCCTAGCGGCCCGTGTTGTGCAATATATTCTCGCCCTCAAAGAGAAAAAACTCGCCTAAGAGATACATGATAATGCGTGCTTGGTCAAGTAAAGAAACACTTTATTATGTTTAATTTAGAGAACGATTAGTTTTGTCGAGAAATATCAGTGGAATCATGCAATTCAATCGCAATGGAATGCATTTTATACAATTTTTAATTTCTAACCTCAAAAAATTGTTTGTAAGACATCCCAAAAGTAATCACAAACACATACATATATACCCAGAAAACACCAACAACCACATACCAGATATATAAAAATAAACCTACTAAAATTATACCTTTGATATGCATTTTTTTGAATAATTTACTTTTAAAAAGGGGGGTGTTACTGAAAGTTTGTTTAAATTAAATGTATGTAAGAGGTAAAACCAATTTGTAAAAAAAAATCGATTTTGATTTTGCTTTAAGAGCAGAAACGAACCTGCATAAAGAAACAATTACTTATAACGGTAAATTGTTTAACACGTTTTCGTGTATTTTAAAGCTTTTTCTTTTGTTGAAAAGTTGAAGCGCTTAATTTTCAAATGAACTTTTATTCGCTGCGAACGAGTTTTGCTAATTTTACAAATTACACAGTCTCACAAAAAAATTTTTTTTAGCCAAATTCTGTATCGGTGCCAAAAATTGTTTTACACTTTTTCATATATTTTTCCGTAATAAAAACTGTGACAAGAATTTGTCACTGTTACAAATGTGATGACAATTGTCACTCTGAAAAATTTGTCACGACAATAGCGATAAAACTAAACACATAGCTCCGTCGGAATGTTTTCACATGAGAATTTTGTAAAATTGTTTATATCGTAATTGCGCGCATTTCATCAGTTTTCAATAATTTGAATATTTCTTTAAACTAAAAGAATGCAAATGCAATTATTACATATGCATTACATAAACATTTCTTATTACTAGCGACCATTTTGTCAACGACAATTTTAAAACCCGACTATGATAATTTGTCACTTTTTCAATGGAATTTCTCATGGAATTGAAGCGGTGGTGATAATTGTTTTTATTAAAACAAAACAACCACCAATCTGTCTAATTGTTACTGACAATACAAAAAATTCCGATCACTGTCACGTTATAAAATATGCACCAGGTGGTCCTTTCAATTTTTGTTCAATATGGTAAATTTCTAGTGTAATTCAATCGATATATTAGTTTTATTAATTCAAACGCTTCATTTGTGTAATTCTTTAGTATTTAATTGGGTGGTGAAAACGAAAATATCCTAGCCTGTTTCCCCGCCTAACTTTTTTGAGGGGCTGTGTAATTTATAATTTTTAAGAAGTCTTCACACAATTTGTATTTTGAATAAATTGCACCTTTTCAAATTTACACTTCTTTTTTCTTAATTGCTTTGTCCAGTTTAAGAGGCTCTTAAATGCCGCCATAACCATCATTTCAAATTTCCTGCTTCAATTTTATGTGCTTGAGTAGTTTTTAAATTTTGTTTTAGCGCTTGCAAAGTATTTATTCGTCTTAATAATGTGTCATGTTTTAACAATTTTATTTTTTATGGATTTATTTTAATTTTTTTTTTTTTGTAAGCAATCAGAAAAAAAACTAAAAGTTTTGAGGTGGTAAAACACATGAAACGCAAATAAAAAATGTGCTAAGAGATGTTAAATAAAAAAATAATAATTAAAAAATTACAAGCATATATATAAATAGCAACCAATAAGTAATAGTTTTACTAGTTTTTTTTCATATACATACATACATGAAAATATTATACCAACATACATACTACAAGCAACGTTTATGCATTAGGAAAGGAAAGGGTGCAAATAAAAAACACAAAAATAAGTAAAAAATGTTTGCGCCTAAAAATTTAAGCGTTTTTTTGATTTTAAAAAACTTTCTTAAGAACAAAATCCGTATATACAAGTACATATGTAAGCAGTTGAAAGCGTGCTGAAAATGTACTAGATAGTACATACTACCAGAAAACATAGGGAAGTGAAAAAGTGTGCAATCAATTTTCTTTTCAAGAAAATGGCAACGAAAAACAATTAGTTGTAGCAAAAAAATTAAAATTGCACAACCAGCTTCACTCCAATCAACATGCCTACATTAAGGGTTCTCGCAGTTATATGTATATTGCCATAAATAAAAATAACACTTAAAGTTATACTAAAACTAAAAAATTGGCTGCGTGCATACAGATGCATACACAATAAATTTGTTTTAATGTTGAAAGTTTTTAAACAAAAACTGGCTACTACATTTCTTTTACTTTCTATAAATTTTAATTTGGTGCAAACAAAACATCTCAGTGCTAATTTATATGGACGCTCAAAGTATCACTGGTTCGTTTTTGCGCTTACTGCCCTATTCACTCAATGACAGAACCAATCGTATTAATGGATTTAAATACTGCGCCGGAAAGTGTGCCCAATAAACTTTGGCTTTAAGTGCTCTAAAAACTACAGTTTTCTATATCACAATTTTTTATATGTTATGGTTATGACCTATTTGACCTATTGAGTGCGTGACAACGACGAAACAATGCTTTTTTTCGGTAGCAAAGTTTTAGGCGCAGTAGTTAAATCAATTGGTATGTAATGAGTTTGTCACTGGCGTGGGCGTGGCGTGGCGCAGCTATTAATCATTACTTGCAGGCAAGCGTCTCACACACATGAGTACTTGTTTCGTGCTTTACAAACAAAAGCTTTAATTTTTTTCACTTTCTTATTAAACGTCGTATTGATTAGCGCACGACAGCTTCTAGTTTGAAATTTTATTTAAATCTTAAAAAAAATATATATATATAAAAATAGTCGCGCAAACTTTGCATTTCTTTTAGTAAACCACCAAGTGTAAAGCGTCAGAAATTTAGAAAAAAAGCAAAATAATCACTTTTTTACTTCAAAGATATTAATTGTAAAATGATTTAACAGATGGGAATCAATGCATAAATAAATTTGAAATGGCACAGTTGTTAAGCAGTTAAAGAGCACAACCGCATTCATTATACATATGTATGCATATTAAAATTAAAATGATTTGTGAACCGTTTTTTTTTTACTCTAATAATAATATAAATATGAGTATGTGTTTATTTTTAATTTTTTTTTGTATTAAATAAGGAAACGATAATTTTAATTTGCATAAATTATATAACATACATTTATATTATACAACAACATATTGTACGTTTATATGCCTTGATATAAAATATGAATATGAAATAAAAATTTAAAAATAATATTAGTAATAATAATTATAGTAATGAAGTTTTTTTCAAAATAAAATATTCTATAATTTACAAAATAACTTTTATTTACACTCACGGTAAAAAGTATTGGCACAGAAAAATTTTCGCAAAATATTTTTTTATAAGCATTTGGTCCATACTACAACAAAAACATTAAAATTAGTTTGTAAATTTTATGCAAAACTAAGGAAAATTCAATAAATTTTCATGTAAATGTTCAACATTTTAACCAGAACTTTAAGAATTTTATTTTAGTATAATAAGGTGTAAGTGTAAGTGCAATTTTTGTATGGAAAAAATGCGAGACACGAATAAATAAATGAAAATCTGATTAAAAAGTTTAAAATTTACATGAGAAATAATTGAATTTCCTGAGTAAATAATAAAAAATAAAAATATAAGTTTATGCTTCTACCTTCCATCAGCATAATCGCAATGGTCAATTAAAATATTTTAAAATTAAAATTAAATTCCGACATTTTGACTTAAATTATCCTGCTATAATTTTAAACAAGCCGATTTCATAACTTCGTAATTGGGTATTAGAGCTTGGCAGGAATTTTTCCGAGTTCACATAAATCCTACGATAGCAATTTGTTCATATTCGTAGCGGAGTGCATTTCTGTGGAAAAACTTGCCGCTTCTAATCAAATAGACTCTCAAATAAAAGATAATTCTTAACCGGCTGTCTTCACGTGCTGGAATATCTCGCTTGCCTGACGACGCACGTGTAGACCGCAAAAAGTACGAAGCATACTATTTCTTGCATACCGAGCGGTTTGCGAATTCTCGCATGTTTTCAACTAACATTTTTGTTGTTTGACAGGTATTTTCTTATTTGGCAAATTCTTTAGAGTAGAAACATCGTTTATTTTGGTGGAATATACAAATTCAGCCTGAAAAACTTTAACCTTCTTTTTTGGCGACATTTTACAAATGAAAAAGTATGCTGTCAAATGCCCAATCAACGAAACTCCATCTCACTTGCGAGAGCAAAAAAGTAGAACGCAAGCGAGATTTTCAAGCATGGGAAGACGGCCGCTAAGAAAGAAGGGCAACTTTATTAAAGAGGATATTAACACAAATTACGACTATTTTTTTCTAATAAAATGCTCAATACAAAGAATAGACGAAAATAGGAAGAGGACTTATTTAACTCTACCTGTGTGTATTTGAGCTTAAATAGATGCGGAAGTGTTGCTTTTTAAGAATGAGCAATATAAAAATGTTTATTGACGTATTTCTACAGAATTTCAGTAGATTATGAGTTGAGCATCAGCGTATCAACTAGAAAGCATCAAGGCTGCAACATTACGGTAATTAGTTACGAACATACCCAAATTGACATAAGTTTGCGCAAACTATCGAGCTCATAGCGCGCAACATGCAACTCTGGGCAGTCCCTTCCGGCAGTGTATTTGATCCCTAAGACTGGGTTCACACAGGGAAACATTCGTTGCCTTTATAAAAAGCGGCTCAACAGAGACAAAAGGTTATGCTCGCCTTATTGCAATATTTCGTAGGGGAAAATTTTAGTAGACGGACGGCAAATTCTAGAAAAAGGGGGGATGAGGGGGAGTAGAATAGGACCCCCTGATTTCAAAACTACCCCCCTTTTTCCTAGCAACCCTATAGTTCTTATATAATTTATTGTTAAAGTTTTCATATAAACGATGAATAAGATAGCAAAATAACATACAACTTAGTGCTACCAGACTGGAATTTTGAATAATAAAAGCGGATTTTTAATTCGGAATTTTTACTTAGTAGAATTATTATTTCTGTGTTGCCGAAGAAGGGGGGGCTGAACACATTTTGCAGAGAACACCTTTCTGCGTAGGCGGCCTTCAGCCGCACTTAGGGATTATAACCCTCAGGCAGTAGAATTTTCCTTTCTGTTTTGCGAAGAAAAGGAGCTGAACACCTTTTGCAGAGAACACCTTTCTGCGTAGGCGGCCTTTGGCCGCACTTAGGGATTATAACCCTCAGGCAGTAGAACTCTCCTTTCTGTTTTGCGAAGAAAAGGAGCTGAACACCTTTCTGCGTAGGCGGCCTTCGGCCGCACTTAGGGACTATAACCCTCAGGCAGTAGAATTATCCTTTCTGTTTTGCGAAGAAAAGGAGCTGAACACCTTTTGCAGAGAACACCTTTCTGCGTAGGCGGCCTTCGGCCGCACTTAGGGATTATAACCCTCAGGCAGTAGAATTCTCCTTTCTGTTTTGCGAAGAAAAGGAGCTGAACACCTTTTGCAGAGAACACCTTTCTGCGTAGGCGGCCTTCGGCCGCACTTATGGATTATAACCCTCAAGCAATAGAATTCTCCTTTCTGTTTTGCGAAGAAAAGGAGCTGAACATTTTCTTTTGTATTGATTTCCCCTGTATTCCTTTTTAATCATTGCCTTCTTTGTATGTATTGTTTTGTACAATATGGCAACACATGTTATGTGTCAGTTTGCAACCATGTGTTATTGTAAATATGCGTGAAATTCAATGTAATTTACAAGTCGATAAAAGTTTAATTAACGTGATTTATATACAAGATAAAATAAAAGAAAAGTGTGTAAAGTATTAAGTACAGTGTTATGTGCATTTATATATATAAAAGTATGCACAAATGCTTTTTTGTTAAGGAAACCAAGTGGAACGACTTAAGAAATTTTAACAACAAATATCTTATAAACAATGATATTATTTATATTTTTTAGTTATAAATGTTTTAGAGGATACCTCCCTTAACATCCTGACCAAGTTTCATTTGTTAATTCCATCTGGTTTTCTTAAAACACATGGTGCGGCTGACTACTAAAGCCCACCCTTTCGTGGAAATCAAATTATCGATATTCTCTAATAAAGTAAATTTTTACTTATTAATGACGAAAGTTTTGCGGTAACTGGCAAAAAGAGTTTAGAACTAAACAGTTCGGTATTTGGAAACGCCATTGTAAAAGAAAGTAATAGAGTACAATACCTTAAAGAGTACAAATGATATTCAAATTTAAATGTTATGTTTTTGTTTTTTTTGAAATTTTAAGTAATAACCAATTTTCATGTTTTGCTACGATTTTTCATTTTTTAATACGATTTTGTGGCTTTAATACGCAAACGGTTTCGTGAGGTGCCAACCCTGCACAGATGTCACATTTTTGACGTTATCTTTCAATGACATTTCTTGATCCATCGTTTGTATGTCAATTTCGTTCAGCGGTTTGCATTTTTTTGCACAGATCTGGTTGCAGTGCATTTTCATCGGATCGCGACGTGGAAATTTGTTTGAAAAAATGTGCTTATGGTAAAATATTGGAGTTTTCAATAGCCGCAATGAAAAATGTGTAATAAAAAATTCAGGCAAGCAGAAAAGTTTTGATAGATCGTCGAATTGTGGAGAATTTAATGCGTGCGTGCGTTTGTATTTGCGAAAAGTCTGCTGTTTTTTTTTCTTGTAGCTGAGTTGGTGAAAAAACTAGCGCAACTCAATTGCTGACTTCGGAAATGTCAAACACGTGAATTATTTGCAAAAGATAAAGGAAAAGAAAAACCTGTGCAAAGAAGTGGAAAAATCAAAAATCACCCCGAACAGGAAGAAAATATTAGATATTTATTATTATATTTACGCACATAGTATAATTTAAGTCCATATTTGCTTGTGCTAATTGAAATAAAAAAATCTGTGCTACTCGATAAATAAGCAAAATAATCTGAAATAGTGTGCTACCTCTACTACAACAAACAAAAATTTCAATTGTACCAACGGAATGCCATCAATCACCTACAAGGAGCGCGTACTCAGCGCACAACAGCTCAAAAAGCTGTCGGAACACAAATACTCCTGTAGCAGCAGTAGTCTGTTGGATCCATGGCTACAGCCATGGTGGAATTGGCTTGTCTCAAAGACGCCACTTTGGCTGGCCCCCAATCTCATTACAATCATTGGACTGATTGTCAACATTGTGACAACATTAATATTAGTATCGTAAGTATATAAATACGAATTTAATTAATATTTTACGTATCTAAGTACTACATAGATGGTATCAATACATTTTAAACACCAAAAAAACTGCATTTTACAGCCGTAAATTTGCTTATTGCGTAAACTTTTCATGGGTTCTCTAGCGGACGACCAACATACATATGTATGTATTTAGTCATGTACATACAGAGTGCCTCGTTGAGAGTTGGGAAAGCTGTATCGGCTTATTTGTCATTTGTTTAAGTAAAACGAATTTGTTGCTATTATACATATTTGGTGCAATCGTGGATTCGCCCACGGTGGAGAGAATACAGAGGTGGCGCCCAGGTTTCGCCTATACACTTTCAATTTCCGTAATACAATTCACACCGATTCTCACTTGCAATGCATTTCCCGGTGCTGATGACAACAGCTGCTACAATAACAACAAAAAATGACGGTGCCTGCGCCGCTTGAAAACGTGCGCGATTGTTTTTTTTTTTGCGAATGGTGGGAGGGTTTAGGCGAAACAAACACATACTACCTATTTATGTATGTGCTTCTAAAATCAGTTTGTGAAGACACATACAATGTATGAAGTTATATGGATATTGTCATTTGTAGTTGGTGCAAGTAAATTTAGGAGATGCTGAAAAGGTGATGAATGATTAAATAGATTATAAAAATATTTGTATACTTACACATGCATCCATGTTCAATTATGTACAATGAATTGCAGGAACGGAAAAGTCTGGAAATTCTGGAAAAAATAGCAAAGATTTACCTATGTATATGTGTATGTACTGTTACTACGTTTATACGCATGTATTATTTGCAAATAACAATTTGCAAAATGATAAACTTTGCGGTATAGACGCTGAGTTAATTTTTTATTTGCAAGTAACTAAATTACGCAAATAAGTATGGATTAGTTGTACTATTTGCAAATAAGCGCAAAAAGCCGCCATTCTTAGGTTTATTTTCTCGATGGTCATCTTATTGCCTTTTTATAAACAAGACGTTGCCATTTTTAACTTTATTTTCTTTTTCACCATCGAATAAACAGTGAGTTAGGTATTTACAACTTATTTTTATTTGCAAATAGCTTACGTATAAACGTAGCATGTTTTTCAGTTTAATTTTTTATGATGTACGTTGCTGTGCCCGTCAATTAAAGTAGCCTAAGTCGAGATAGGCATTTTTCCCTTTAAAGCAACATTTTATTGGGTTCCCAAACAATATTTTAACAATAAGCCATAGGTGTAGTTCAAGGTGCATTTGTAATAGACGCAAGTTAAAAATATAAAACTTTTCTAGGAAAACTAATTTTTTATTTTTTTTTTTTATATAAAATCAAACCTTCTATAGTCACTTAAACCTTCTGACGGTCACCTATCCAAACGTGGCCATGAATCTTTAGTGAAAACGCTGGAAATTCATTGAAAATTTTCAATAAAAAAATAATTTTCGGCGGGAGGAAGTTCGCCGAGTCTGCTAGTATTAAATAAACTAAAGTAACATAGGAAACATTTGCTAAAATGTCGTTTCGCTATTTATTTTTCCACCACTGTAAATCCTTTTAATTAGTGTTAATAATAATATGTACGCGCCCATTCAAAGTACTACTTATTTATTTTTCGCAACAACGCTTTTCATTTCTGCACTTGCAATTTACGGCGCAACGCATCATTGTTGCATTGCAAACTAAATAGCAGATTTTTATAGAGTTATAGTCATGGTCATTTTCATTTCTTCCCTGTTGACTTTGCATTTATGGCTTTTATTTTGCATGCAAAATGTGGGGTATGTTTTTTACCCTTAAAATTGTTGACATTGCTTTATAGTGTCTTCAATTGCGCGGTTTTACTTTCACCGGACAGGCATTTACATAATTTGTATGTTATATCGTCGTTTAAAGTACCTACAAATTTTATAGTAGGGCGGAAGTACTGTCTTATGCTCTACCCAGAATTGCAGCGTCCAACGGTAAAGCAGTCGACGGTTAACCGCTTTCAAAATTAGAACTCACAAGCGCATATGGAATAGCTCATATTTGCGGCGGCAGCGTTTTTACCGCCGACGTTTTTTCGGAAAATTCCACTTTCACCTGTGTTAGCAAACATTTATATGCTCATAACAATATTACTGGACCTGAAAAATTGGTTCAAAATGCCAAAAGTGCGCCCAAAACAACCACAAAATATCTAATTCTTATATATTTAAATTGTTCATATCAGAAGATCTTTTTAAGTGTGATGCCACATTCTTAAAATCTTATACAAATTCGGCAAAAATCGCGTCACACGGCAACACTGGATTGCTTTGACAGCACTTGCAGCAAAAATGAAACTTACTAGTGCAGCACGAGCAAGTTAAAATTATTTTTCGAAAGCGATTTGCGTAATATCAGTTGCGGGTACACCTTGCAATTTTTATTTCCGAAAGTGATTTCAGTAAATCTGCCAAAACGACTTTCTGGCTGTTTACACGGGAAAGTATAGACTTTCGATTTCGCAATTTGACAGCAAAATGCGTATATAAAGCGTTTACATTGCCACGTTTAATCGTACTTTACACCTTGAATTTTTTTTCCGAAAGTGATTTCTGCAAATCTGCAAAAAAGGGGTTTATTTGGCGGTATACACTGGAAAGTAGAGTTACGAACGTGTAATTGTTTTGTCACCTTTGTGGATCGTGTGCTAAAGTTGGCTTTAGAGCAACTTCCCCTATATAAAAAAATATATATATATTTTTTTTAGTGCATTATAGGCGGTCTTTTTTGTTTATTTGTTATTAAAATGGTTATTGATTTTACAAAAAAAAAGAAAAATAGCATACTCCCAGTCATCAAAGAATCGTGAAAAATTGTTTAACAAGTTTATTTTTAATCACAATTTAATACTTTCGCCATTATAAATGTAGTATAAGTAGATAATATTTGTGAATTTTAATAGCCTCAAGCGAAATTCGCAACTATAAAAAATATTTTTTTACTGCAGCTTTGATCACATTCATATGATGTACATATGTATGTGTGTACTATTTGCACACTTAGATGTGCAAGAGCAAAATGGACGAGTATTGTAGACACATGTGTATGTATATACAAATATATGTATGAGAATATAATAATTAGTTTCTTTAAATAATAACCAAACTAAATTGTGCATACATTTGTACCATGCTTGCTGGTATATGAAAGCTTGTGTGTTCAGCTCTTCATATTTCGCTTGGGAAATTGGTACATATGTATATGTACTATGTATGTACATTTGTATTTACACACATACATAACTTTCTTTTGATTTTCTTTAAACATTTGCGCTGTACTATGGTATTCACGATCACTTTCATCTTATTGATTGTTGCCTTCACGCTGTCATTATTGCTTTTACTGTCTGTCTTGACGTTTTTTCCACTGTCTAATGCCTTAAACTTACCACGTCAGAGAATTTGGTCGTTTGGTGATCGGAGCAGTGTCTGGCGGGGAGGCGAGCGAGTGAGTGAATAATCAGTGCAAGTAGTTTAATGATTAGCTCTTTTGATTTAAATATGTACTATGGATGAACATTCATAGGCCCATTACGTAGACACATTCAAATATAAGTACCTGCTAATTATGACTAGATGTATGTATTATGTCACCCCCAGTCAGTTTTTACTACTTTTCTTTTATTTTTTTTTTAAGGTTCATTATTTTTATATAAAAGTATAGTCCTTATCTAACAAATACCATATAAATCTAAATTTCAGACTTTATACAAAAATTATAAAAATTAGACAAACTTGTCATTCCAATTCCATGCACTTTAATTTAAATTTCTAGAATAATTTTTGGTATGCAGTTTTATAGCTTATTAATTTATAGTATAATAAATGCAAGTTTTAAGTTGATAAATAATCGTGTTGATTTTTGATAGGTTTTTTGCTGACGGTGTTATGCACTCTTCCGCATAAAAAATTACTTTGTAACGTTTGGCGTTTCCTTTTCTAAAACTATTTTCCTTGCCATAAGTTATTGCGATTACAAATTTGAGGTGTTACTTTGGGTAACTTTTGTAATTGCTATGAGTATAAAGGCATAAACTGTGCACATTTCAATTCTTCTACGAAATTTCGGAAGAAAATCGTTAAAGCAATGTAAATAATGCTGCTATGTGAAGAATTTCTTACAGAATTTTCTTAATTTTTCGTACATAAATTTCCTTCCGAGTTCGTTTCAACCACTTCATATAATTTTCTTTGAAGAATTGTAAAAAAAATCGTTTCAGCAATGAGATACTCCTAAAGATTTCGTTAAGATTTCGTGAACTTTGGTTTGCAGGGTTGCTTTATTTTATTTTCAAATGTCAAATGCTAGATTTTTTTTAATTGGTACAACAAATACGAAACACGATTTCTGTCAGATAGCTAGCATGGTGGATAAGAAGAAGAAGAAGTGAAACTGCCTTCTAAAAGTCATAGGCCCGTAGTCATAGTCAAAATAAAGTCGACTTTAAAGTTAGTTGCAGCTTTTTTGACAGATATCCCATTGAAAATTATGTCAAAAAGCTGCAACTAACTTTAAAGTCGACTTTATTTTGACTATGACTACGGGCCATTGTATTTATGTTGGTACATACTGTCCATGCGGCTGGCCTCTCTGGTCATTTTCAATCTCGTAACCTTCCAAATCAGCAGATATCAACACACCTGAGAACAAACTAATTTGATCAATAAGAAATTGTTTAAATTACATATGTAAAACTAAAATTACGACACCATCTTTGTTCTAAAATTTTAATAACTCAATTACTGTCAATTGACATCGGCTACACAAGCAACAATGCAATGAGCTGAGGCGATTTTTTTAGTACAAATCCATAAGAAATGTACATATGTATGTATTGTGTATTTGAGTTGTGATCTCGCATTCAACATCGCTCGATGTCACTGTAGGTCAATTATATGCGTCGATACTGATTTTAATTAAAAAATAATAATATATTCAGAAAAAAGTCAGCTAAATGCAAGCGAACACA